TCTTTCAAAAGGGCACTTTTTTGGACTGAGGGCAAAAGGGCAAGTGCTTCAGCACCACCTCGTCTCTATCTGTGCACGCCAGTGGTGTTCTGGATTCATTATTACAAAATTTCAATTTCAATTAACTGACTTAACTGACTGAGTATCAAAATCTGTCAAATTTGACATTACTTTTTTCTGCTAAAGTAGAACTTTATCAGGGACTAAGTTTCTAATTTCCGTCTCTATTTCAGTGACCTTTCATGAAAACGAGTGATTGTGGAACAATAACTGCTTTTTAATCCATCCATTCGTTTTTTCCGCTGCTTACCTAGTGCCAGGTTAGAGATTAGACTTTCATCCCAAATACATACAGGGTACTGCATGTAATTTTTGCTCATTTATTGCCCGGTTACCTTATATGTCCAAGGTCGGCGATTTGTGTCCCATCTCTGCTCCTACAGCCTAAAAACATGCAGTTAGGCTACTTGGCATTTTTCGAGATGATTGGAGTGTGTCTGTGTGTGCCCTGTGACAGACTGGTGACCTGTCCACGGTGCACCCAGCCCATCTCCCATGATGCCTTCCTTCCCCATCCCCCCGCCCCCCCGCTCTGGGTAAAGTACTGCGAAGATGTATAGATGTTTAATTTAACCCGGGTTATTTTCTCCTGAGAAGAAACACCGCCTTTGTCTTAATTACCGGCTGTAATTCTCCCTCAAAGACAATCTCCCTTGGCTTTAATCAGGATAGCTATGGTGCTGGTCATGTTAAGAGGGTGAGCCCAGCAACGGGGAAAATCTGCACGGCACACTTACCCACAGTAACTGCCTTTAGTGTCATCGATTTGTTTGTTTGTTTGTTTGCTTTTTTGTTTGCTTGCACATAAAGCTTCAGACCAGCTTACTTTGAAAAAAAAATTGAAAATTGAGTATTTATTAGCCAGCTGAATAGGCACCCAAACTAGTGCCCCCCACAATTAGCTAATTTGATTCTGCTTTCCATGTTAGGTGACATAATAACGAAACATCCTTGCATTTACAGTTCATATAGTTTATGTTATTTACATCTGTGTGGCTCAGTGGGCTCAGCCTCTGTGCCTGTGATCAGAAGGCTGCCAGTTCAAGCCTTAACCCAGCCTTTGCATCTCTGCAGGTCCTTGAGCAAGGCCCTTACCCCCACGTCCCCCCCGTCCCAGCTTTCTGGGCACCCTAACAGGTGGCTGACCCTCGCAGTCAAGCTTGTTCTCACTTACAGAGAGCGAGTCAGGGCAGGCATGAAGAGAATTTCCGTAAGGTATCAATTCATTAAACTGATGATTCAGAATGCACTAGCTAAATAATTACTACACAATAGACAAGCTACAGTACAATTGCCACACAACAGAGCTAAAGTGAAAGACTGAGTCATAGAGGCATTTTCTACAGTTCAGCCTGTATCACTTAGCATTAGCCTTTATTGTTAACGAGATACTTGAAAATATCGTCCCAGTCAGAAAATGTTTGTGCTGGAATCAAGGCCTGTATGACTTCCTTGAGAAATGCAAATATAGAATTGACTTGAAACTCAAATGCGATTATGATGAGAAAACTAAAACATATATTTTTCGTTTTGTTAATGTATTAGAAATGTTTTCATGGCCTCTCTGACGGGAACATAACTTTGCTTGGCAATTCTTTCTGAGCTGTTAAATCTATTTTTACAAAAGATGTATTTTCATGCCTGTAATTTTAATGCTGATAATAATTACTTCATGATTTTATTTAAGTGATTATGGAAGCAAGTACTCCTTATTATTATGGGTCTTTTTAACTTTAATGGTGAATGTGTTAAAAAGCTATGATTTTATATATAAAAACATGAGCAGTTTTTTAAGAAATATGTTCTTTATGCTGGTATGAATTACATTCTGTGAAAAACATAGGATTTCAAACTAAATCAAAATGGTTGAAAAGGTTATTATACCTAACATTTCAAGTAAATCAAGTAGGGGCATGTGGCAGAATTATTATTTTAAATAATAATTCTTAAATTAAAGAGAATGGTCTACAACTCTACATATTAATTGTAGGAAATCAATATACTTTGATGCAAAATTATCCACTGTTTATTATCAAAATAGACGATCATTGAAAGTCATTATTATCGTTGATTTTGCAGTAATCAAATTTCTCTTTGTTTGCTGCTACTTTGTTTCTACTGTCAAATGCAGAATATTCTGTCATGACCAATGAGCAAATGTGTAGCCTTTCAGCAATGCTTTGGTGGAATATGTATGGATTCTTTGTCACACTGCCGGCTGCTGTTTTTTATTATCTTTGAGAATAATGTTCAGTTTACTGATGGTTAATTTTTAGGACCACAGTCAGATATTTAAGTTCTGCAGAAAACAGACAGCCAATAAAAGTGGAAATTTTGGGTAATTACTGTTCAGGAGTCTCATATGTGTAATTAAATCTTTTTACTTTAAATTTAAAATTGATAATTGTTATTTTGAGCAGCATCTTTTGATATTCTTATATTCATTTGCTCTGTCCCCTTCTCACTTCTTTGAAAACGTGAATTTGGTATTTATTTTTAGGTCCTTGCTAACTAAATATAAAATCCCTTTGCTGTTCATGCATTCATCTTCCACATCACATGCTTCAGCTTTTCTTTCGTTGACTTGCAAGTGACACATGGAAGTGACTTGGATTCACATGAAGTCCGTGAATCTGAGAGCCCTACCTCATGATACACTGTGCAAGCAGTAAGTCTAGCATGCGGTAATTCTGGGTAGTAGTTTATGACTATGCAGGCAAATGTGCCCATCTTATCATCATGCTTCTATAAATCGGTATGTGTTCCTGATCCGTCACATTCAAAGTTTGCAGCATGCATACATACTTACCACTGAATTTGGACAAGCAAGTATAATTAATCTTGTTCTACATTAAAATATTTAAGACATTTTATTATTTTAATGGGAAAGTCTTAATTGTAAATCATGAAAGAAAGAAATAGTTACTATTAGTAAATTGCATGTTTGACATTAGACTAGCACTGCCCCTAGTGGTTCCTTTTTGCTTACACAAGAGCGCTTTCCGATATAATAGTGCTGAACTTTGTGGAGCTCTCCACTGTCCTGAAACTTTGCAGACTTCATGCGCAAAGGAAACATATTATTAATTTATTAATCTATTAATCTATTATTAATCTAAGGCAAATCTTTTTACTGGATGCTAGCAGCGTTAATCTTAGAAACACGATATTTACACCCACACTTATATAATATTGTATTTATAATACACTCATAGTAAATATGTGGGGAATATGTATGTTCTCCTCATGTGTTTGTGGGTGTCCTGTACATACACGTGTGTGAGTGTAATTGATTGTGTGAGTTTGCTCAACAGACTGGTATTTTCTCCACTGTGTTTCCTGCTTTGTCCCTTGTATTTCCTGTGATCGGCTCCAGGCCAGTACTAATGGTAATAATAAGTTAGCTAACTTAGGTTACTGGGGATATTGGTTTAGAAATAACAAACAAAGCCGTACATAGAATATTAATCTGTGGATATGTTTACAGGATTTTTTTTGAGTAATGTATTTAAAAATGTCTGTTGACTATTATAATGTATCTATTTTGGATACTTGGAACAATTCATCAGTCATGTTTTTTATATATGAATGTGATAAAGGCAAATCATAATTACTTATATACTAACACTTTATGCCTCAAACCTATATAATCAATAGACCTGTTTAACAGGAAAAATGCAGCATCATATAAAACTGAATGAACTTTTGGCGAATTCATATCATTTTTAAAAAGGGAAGCATCTCGTTTTTTTCTGCTGCTACTAATCCAAATTCTGCTGTTATTGCTATGATATGCTACGGCTTCATTAGTTCTCCATCTTAACATTGCTCAGCCATTTCATATACAATTAAAACTACTGCTGCTGAAGTCCTTTGAAATATCAAATGGTACATCAGTATGTAAAAATATCTAAATGTCTAAAAGCAGAATCTGGACCTGAGAGGTGATAAGTGTATCTTAGCAACTAAATATTGAAGCACTTCAACTGTATTCAAGTTAAAAGAGAAAAGGCAAAAATATAAATTAAGCTTCTGTCAGTTAAAATTTGTTTCTATTTGCTTATAAATACGTAGCGGAAATGCACACCGTTACATTAATGTAACCATCCCATCCACGTCCTGAAACTGCTTGTCTTATTCAGGGTGATGGGGGTCCGGGTCCAAGTACAAGGCAGGGAACAACCCAGGATGGGGAACCAGTGCATTTCAGGGCACACTCACATACCAGTCACTCACCCACCACTCACTCACACACCATTCACTCACACACCAGTCACTCACCCGCCACTCACTCACATACCATTCACTCACACACCATTCACTCACACACCACTCACTCACACACCAGTCACTCACCCACCACTCACTCACACACCATTCACTCACACACCACTCACTCACACACCATTCACTCACACACCATTCACTCACACACCAGTCACTCACCCACCACTCACTCACACACCATTCACTCACATACCACTCACTCACACATCATTCACTCACACCTCATTCACTCACCCACCACTCACTCACACATCATTCACTCACACATCATTCACTCACACACCATTCACTAACACACCATTCACTCACACACCATTCACTCGCACTCATTCACTCGCACAACATTCACTCACACACTATTCACTCACTTAACATTCACTCACGCACCATTCACTCACACACCATTCACTCACGTACCCTTCACTCACGCATGCATACCTATGGGTGATTTGGTAACTCTAATCACCTTATCATGTTTTTAGACTGTGGGGGTTGGGGGTGGGGGGGGGGTAAACCAGAGTACCCTGAGGAAACCCCACAATGACCCGGGGAGAACATGCAAGCTCTACACACAGGGAGCCATGGCTGAGACTCAAACCCAGATCCCAGAGGTATGAGGCAACAGTACTAACTACTGCACCACAGTGCTGCCCTCCGGTGGCAGAACAACTGTACTGGGCCCTGGGGCAAAAATGGAACATGCCCGCCCCCTTTACAAATTCACACCTAGGGCCTGCCTACGCCAGTTACAGCAGTTACAGATGATGAAATTTAAGTAGCCTCCAAATATCGTACCCATCATGCACTGCAGTAGTTAGCAAAGTCCACAAACGTGCTTTTTTCATTAAATACGCTCCTCGACAACATAGTTTGACTGCAAACCATTATTACATTTCAAAATAGTTTTAAGTATTGTACTGGATATTTTTTGTGTTCTGATTCCCAGCATAATGGGATTGTATGCAGAAAAATGAGAGATATAAAAGTAGCATGTTACAGGTTTGTATGATATGCATAATATGAGCACCTTAATGATCATGAATGTTTAGTATACATGTGAGGTTTGCAGTGGGAAGACAGCTGTTGATGGCAGCCAGTCCACTCCTGCCACTGCATAATCCCAACTGAATATATATATATATAAATCATTTAATAATGTAGGGATATTTGTATGCCAATTTGCATTTTCTCCTCCCTCTCTTTCACTCAATTAAGGCATCTGCCAGTGTTTTTGTGTTATAAACACAACACTATGTGTCATGCTGTGCATAAAAGAAAATTAATGCAGTGACTTGCTGACCATCCTCCAGTTTCCATTACACGTTTGCATCTGCAAATTCTAAGCGTGCTTGTCCTGTGAGCCTCATAGTGGTGAATTAATAAAGCAGCAGTGTTATTTCTGCTGATCGCATGCAGTATTTTCTGCCTGACTGCCTTTCTTGAATCTCATGGGTTCTCACCCAAGGAGAAGCTAGTCCATTCTTCAGGGTGGTAATCCAAACCTGCTGTAGACCTAATTCTTTTTGTAAATATTTATCTTCCTGAAAATTCTTCTTGAGCATCTTCCTTGTTCGGTGGAGAGCATACAGCCCAAGATGTGTGTTAGGATGTATTTACAGCAGCAGAATGGAATATTATGTAGTATTATCCAGTATTATGTCCTAACAGTTTCTCAATTACTCCTCCGCCTTTTGTTGCTGTCATTTATTGGTCTAGGTTATGAAACATTGGGTCCAAAGGCTGCAAGGATTCATCTGAGATGATTAATAATCACTGCCTCTTTAAAGATCCACTGAAATTGTGCTGTTCAAGAAATAATTAGCATTAACAGTTTAGATATTTAATGTGTGAGGCCGCC